TTTCTAACAGTGTACAGAATCAGAATCAGAGGTTGTTTTTATTGGCTGAGCAAGATATTACTTACAGGGAATTTGTCTTGGAAGTAGTCCATGTTAATACTGACATTGTAACATAATTAATAGAGAAGGGAAATTTAATCTCCAGTGAAAATGTAATACGCTATTAATTTTTCAGCATCAGGAAACAAAGCAGTCCACTTTTTGACTTTCTTACAGCTTCTGTTCTTTTCAGGAGACTCGCTTTCAGTTTCTCAAAGAAATCTACGGAGTTTCCACACCTCCAAAGTTCAGTCTTAGACGTTGGTTGCATTTTCTGCATCTCACGATCCAAATAATCACAACACATTCAGTGATGTTGAGGTCTGGACTCTGGTGTGGTCAGTTCATTGTTCTGAGAAAACCATGCAGCTTTTTTGTTTGATTTGCAGGTGTTCTTTTTTGTCTATTTCTTTTTCTCAGTGAGGTTCTTCTTGACAGCTACACATCCTTTCAGACCCATAGTGCTGAGTCGTCTTCTCACACTGGAAGGATGGACAGAAACACCTGTCGATGTTTTCAGATCTGAAGCAAGAGTGGAGCTTGATTTTCACCTCTCTTAAAGTCCGATGGTGACAGTCTTGGTGGTCTACCAGGTCTTGCACTCTAGTTTTTGAGAGTCCTGAAAGTCAAAAGAAAAAGTTGTTTTCCTTTGACTTTCCCCTTCCTAATGCAAATGGACTATGTTAAATCTGATCTTGTACTTAATGGCCATTTTGACTGGAAATGTAATACATAAAGGGTGGTCTCTGCACAGTACTGCAATGCTGCTACTACTACAGCTACAACTAGTAGTTAACATGCATAATGAATTTCACCCTGTTACACTCTTAAAAGAAGTGGTTTCTAAATTCTGAAGTACACTGTTAAAATGAGACAGATCTGCTGAACTTAAAATGATTTAGTAACTGATAACATGGCTTTTCTTGAGTTGACTCAATTTGAGGACACCAGAGTTCACACAACTCAAACTTCTTAGTTGAGTCAAAAATCCTCCCAGCTACTGTTTCTAGCTCTGCATCTCAGTTAGATAAACAAAACTGAATTTGTGTTTTTTTACTCAGTTTCCCCACTAGCTGGCGCTCCTTCTATCACACACTTCACACACTTCTATCCCATCTGGCATATTTTCCTCTTGGAGCTTCCAGATGTGGGCAGCTGTGGTATTGCTGGGATTGAAACTCACAACCTCCTGATGTTGGAATGAATTATTAGACAGTTATACCACATGAGACGATGCCGTGTTTTTAAGTTTGAACAACAAATATTTTCTTCAGTGTTTTAAACATTTGTAGATAGAAAATCTGAGTTGCTTCATGTGTTCTTGAGTGGTGCGGTGGACTAAACGGTCACTCCAACAGAAGGTTGTGAGTTTAAGCCCCAGTGATTCCATAGCCGTCCATAAGTGTGTACCCAAGAGGAAAAATGTCTAGCAGGATTGTGTGATGGAGAGAGTCCTGGCTGGTAGGGAAGTCGAAGATAAAAACAAGTTCATTTTATTGACCTCACTGAGATGCAAAACTGGAAAATTGAGAGAACTTTTGCTCAACTAAGAAGTTTGAGTTGTGTGAACTCTGGTGTCCTCAAGTTGTGTCGACTCAAGAAAAGCCATGAAATCAGTTACTCTATCATTTTGAGTTAAGCAGGTCTCTCATTTTTCACAGTGTGCAGTTCATTGAAAACCTTTCATTTGTAAAGAACCTTTACAAGATGTGGAAATTCTTCAGACTTAAACCTTTTAACTGTCGCCCCATTTTTGCCTGAAACGGCTGCCTAAAGTAAAAGGAGCAATGCTCCCACATAGTTTCAGCTATAGTTATGACCTTGGTCGAATACGAAAGGTAACACCTTTAGGTTTGTGTGAATTACTGACAGAGGCAAGAATGGAGGAGTTTATTTCTGCCTGTCTCGTAGATCTCTAAACTGACTCTTGATGTGTTGTCAAGACCACATGTTTTGGATTATGAAGTCTCTGTGGGTAGCCGCAAGGCTTTGAAGGTAAAGACCCACAGATTTACTAGTGTTTGCTTTTTCGCTGCTTATGTTGCAAATGAGACGATCATTACTGCTGTGAATGACAGATTGTAAATTGGTTTGCGGGAAGCTTTCTAACGGTATATTGCGTCACTGTATTGCTGGATGATTCAATGCTAAAAAATGATGGAAAAAAAATGGAAGTGAACGGTGTGCTGGTACCGGTGTAGTGATCCAGAAAAAGGTTAAAAGAGTCTGCACATCTGCAAATCTCATTTACCAAAACAGTTCTTTGAAGGACCGTCCACTGAGAGGTTCTTTAGGGAACCAAATGTGGTTCTTCTTTTTTTGGAACCGTTGTTTTTAAGAGGCCACTGTTAAGCCTGCAGTCTAACGGCTGTTTCTAAGCCTGCATTTCTCTATCCCACTCTGCCGACACAGATCCTCGTGTTAAAAACACGTTAGTCAGGTTTCCTGGCTTTTTCCCAGACCCACAAAACCGGCCGGGGTGTTTCGTATCTTGTTCTGGAAGCTGCTGCTCTGTGAGAAGTGTGTGGTGAAGTCAGTTCTTGGGGAGGGTTTGGCCACAGGGGTGATTTATCACTGGATAAATGGTTTTGGGCTTTAATGAGATGGAAGCCTGAAGAGGAGCAGATGTTGAAGATGTTCAGGCCTGCCCTGTCTTTTGTGTCATTTATGAACAAGAATGAGAGATTCGCTGTTGCAATGTTGCACACCCATCGGACGGCAGCTGGAAAAACATATTACATATACAAATACATTGCTTTCCATGATCAAGACATCATGAACAATCTTTGACTGAAATACGTAAAAAACGAACTGCTAAGAATCGATGGATACTATTAAATAACTGCTCCTGCTGCTGTTAACTACTACTTTAAGGTCATTAAAATTAATTATGTTTACCTTCAGTTTGCATTCTACACTTTGTTTTCGTTTTGTTTTCTGTTTGTTTCGATTTCAAAAACATGAAATGTGGTAAAACAATGAAGATTGTTTTTTCTTTCTGCAGAACAGGACTGTGCACACCTGTAACTTTAATCGAATTCAAATCAATACAAAATCTCCGTTTCTACTAATAAGCACAAATGTGGTATTGATTGTTTCAGTTTTAATAACTCCTGTGAAGTACAGAAATGAACTCTGAAATTACAGAAATTAAACCTGAGTGTTATGTGTGTATTTTTCAGGGCACTCCAAAGGGATGCCTGGACTTTGTAACACGGTTTTGTGTGACTATTATCATTCATTAGTCAGCATGTTAGATTAGCAGCCTGCCAACAGTACTCTCTGATTTATTCACTGTGCTGAGGGTTTGGTTTGATGGAGCTGCCATGCTTTTATGTGGAATTTAGCAAGAATAGCTTTAAGCAATAATGCCAAAATCACAACATTCAATTAATATGTCATCAGTTGTACTTATATACTCAATCTGGAAGGTGAATGAACCTAGAATCTGAGAGGACGGAGCTATGGCTAACTTAATGATCTGTTAATTGTAATATTTCAGTACAAATATGGCCCAGCCGATTACTGATTGGTGCCTGGTATCTGCTCAGGGTATATAGGAGTTTTAACCTTTTATGGCAGAGAAGAATTTTCAGCAACAAAACAAATGCATAGAAATGTACTTCAGACTTCAGCAAGGGTGGAAAGAGTACCCTTACTTAGGTGTACTGTTGCTGTAGTGATAATTTAAAAGAATTAATAATGGAAATCACTTTCTTGTGGAGTCCCCCAAGGTTCAATTTTAGGGCCTTTGCTTTTCTCTTTGTACATGTTATCTATAGATGATATCATCAGAAATCATGATATCAATTTTAATGGCTAAGCTCATGACACACAGTTGTGCATACAATATTTCTCAGTGTATATCACACAAGTTTCTACAACGAATTAAAAAATAAAAGACGAAAATGAACATTCCTAGATTTTTTTCATGAACTACCTTTTTGAGCAAGCAAACAAATGCATACAAATGTACTTTAGACTTCGGCGGGGATGGAAAGAGTACTGAAGATTCCTGCTTAAGTAAAAGTACTATTACTATAGTGATAATGTACTTAAGTACATGTAAAATAATTCATAAAGGAAATTACTCAAGTAAGAGTAAATACATTGTTTATGTTTTAAAAAGTACTTGAGTAATCACTTCAAGATGCATAGTTTATTACTGTTTAATTAAGTCTATTTTTTGTTTGACCTTTAAAAAATCTGATTACTTGATAATAATTTAAAATAAGGTTGATTATTCAATTAATAGTGTAAGTTTTAGTGACAGCCCTGCTGCCCATTAATTCCATGAATTAACAAGCAGAATTAGTTAGCCGGTAAGCTAACTGTGAAGAGTGATTTCGGAAGACATTTGGCAGCTGATAATAATGCTCTTAGGCTGAAGTGTAGCGTTTTTTTGGAGCTGCACTGCTTCGATTTGATTGGTTTTCAAATTTGAACAGGCTTTCTTTTAATTGGTTTATGAGCCTAAACACACATTTGTTTTTACTCTGTAACTTTAAAATCAAAGTAGCAAATTACAAGTGTTTTATTAAAAATTAACTCAAGTAAAAGTACCATGATTAAATTCAACGCGAAAAATATTGTTACTTTGAAAAAATGTACTGAAGTACTGTAACGAGGGTAGATGTAATTCGTTACTTTCCACCTCAGTATTTCAGTCACCGCTTATTATTTGTCCAATTGAGTGTTTCTGGCACGTAAAATAAGCTGTTAATGATTTGAATTCTGGTTTGAATGTTTTCGAAGCTCCCACATTGCAGCTCTGACAGTATCACAATCAGTATCACTATTATCGCTACTTCCTTTTGACACATTTGGTGCGATGCTTTAATCAACGAGTCACCGCCGCTGCGGGTATTTAATGAGTTAAAGACTTTCTCTAAAAGTGTCAACACTGGCCTCTTCAACCACTAGGGGGCCTGTGTGAACATGTGGTGTTATTTCTTTCTCAGGCTGCTGTGAATGGTGACATGTCTGCAGTAGAGGGTTTGTCAGAGAATAACAGTGGCTTGGAAATGACCAATGAGAATAGCCCTCTGACTGGGGCGGAGCCACCCTCACCTTTCAGCCCCAAACAGAACGGGGGTGCAGCATCACCTGCAGGTGAATACATTCACACTCTCCGTACTCACACAAGCAGGCATACACACATTGATATAATACTAAATCAATGCATGTACAAACACAGACATACATACCGAACATATAAGTACTATTCACGCTGGGTTAGTTTGACCAGAGGAGGTGCTGTAATGTAAATTGAAAGGAATTTGTACAGAATAAGTGTCTGTAGCTTCTTCCATTTAAAACAAAGACCAACGTTCAAGCCATCTTAGAAGGCGCAATGCTCAATAACAATAACAACACGGTGCATGTTATTGTCTATGTTGTTGTTACATTACCATTAGGTCATATTGAACAGCACTGCTATTACTGAGGAAGCTCTGGGTTCCTTGAAGTCATGGAGCATTTAAATCTGAATTATTACTCCAACTTGTAAAAACTATGGACATTGCAGATTCATACTGGATTATTAACCTCTTTAACTCCATGGAACCACCACGTCATCATGTTCTTTACTTTATAACTTTCATATTTCATAAGCTACATTCAAAAGGTGGGAGTCATATGAGAGCTGAAACTGGCCTCTTTCCAATCAGATAGATTGGTCATGTATTTTACTAAAACTTTATAATAAAAGAAGCTGAACCCTGAATTTTTTTTCTACTGAAAGTTGACCCATTTTTCCACAAATCTGAGCTATAAACTGGATCTCAGATGGCGTCTCTTCAGTGATGTGCACTGTAAAAACTTATTTTTATAAAAAAAAAAGATTTTTGGCTTTTAGCAGTAAATTGTAAGCATATGACATTATGTTTATACAAAAAAACAACAACACTTTAAATCTATTTCATGCAGTTACTGAATAATTTGCCTTAAGATTTGGGCATGTAGGTTAAGATGGAAAAACTACAATATACCCTGCAGAATAAGGGGATTTTAATTAAATTATTATTTGCTAACATTTTCTCTTTGTCTCTCTTTCTCTCCCTCTCAGATGAGAGTGTGAACAGTCTGAGGAGGAAGAGGTCTCGGAAGCGTTCTGAATCAGAGTATGACAGCGTGTGGGACTCCTGCAGCGAGGTAGGAATTTACACCACCACACTGAAATCTCACACACACTGGGCCTGATGTAATTTTTGCGCCTGTTTCAGACACATTCTGTACATCCAAAACCATAAAATGTGTTTCTCTCTCTTATGCATATGCATTCGAGGGAGGATCATGCAAAATATATGTGGAGATTTTAAACAGGCAAGTAGCAGCGGCCTGGTTTGGATTGTGGGTTCTTCACATATTTGCGGTAATGCCTCAAAGACGTGTTGGGAGACTTTACATTGGCAACAGATATAGTAGCTAAATGGAGGCTTAAGCCCCAAACATGTGCTGAAAGAATATTTAGCAACAGAATAACATTATTTCAGCTCTCAGGATCAGAGGCTGTATTACAGAAACTTCCTATCATTTTTGTCCTAAATTCCGACAGGTCAAAATAAGATTTTTCACAAATTCATATTACAGAAGTAAATCTTATCTTGATTTAGTAATCATCTTATTTCAAGTTAGGAAATCTTAACTTGCTCAATAGAAGTCAACAAAAAACTGTCTTGTCTGTTACCTAGCAACCGACCATACACGCACAGCTGAAACGTAAACACGTAATCAGAGTAATTAAGTTAGTAAGCCAGACAGCTGAAGTTAGCTACCATTACTGACGTACAAAAAAGGTCAAAACTAAAGCGCCAAAAACTTAAAGTTAACAATATTGTGTGTTTTTTCAGAGCGATGCTGCTTCACAGTTTCAGTTTCCCTTGCTATCATCATTCCACTTAATAAACAGACTGTAACGCACCAAGCAGATTCAGATGCTCGCAGACGTAAAACACAAAGGAGGCTTTACTGATAGCATCACAATCCAAAGTCGTCATCACAAAACAAGCATGGGTCAATTCCAGAAAGCACAAAAGAAACAAACACACAAACATAACACCAGGCGGAATGTCCAAAAAGGGAGAGGCAAAAATGTAGTCGGGAATACAGGCAAAAAGGTCAAAAATCAGAAATCGTACACAAAGGCAAATAATCCGAAGGGCAAAGTCGAGAAACTAAAGGCAAAGGTCATACACAAAAAAACATACAACGGAATGAACGCTCAGTAGATCACGCAGTGGATACAACACCTCGCAAAGTCCCCATGCTAAAGCCTGGGCTATAAACTAAACTAGAGTTGTGATATGATCAAGAACACAGGTGACACACATTAGAATTCAGGTTAACGAGAGCACCGATGGGAGCACTAAGTCACGTGAGGAGTCAGGTGATCTCCCGGAGGATTCTGGGAGGTTGCGTCCAGGTTAGTGTCGTTATTGGTTGACTGTGTGGAGGTCATGTGATCTCCCAGAGGATTCTGGGAGATCGAGTCCGAATCTAACGAGGTACTCAGAGGATGCGTGACCCAGACACATGATCAGCTCTGTCTCCTCATTTTTCACCACCATCACTGTAATATTTTATCTGATGAGTTTTCATCAGGGCGGCACGGTGGCGCAGTGGGTAGCACTGTCGCCTCACAGCAAGAATGGCCTGGGTTCAATTCCCGGCCGGGTGACCAGGGTCGTTTCTGTGTGGAGTTTGCCTGTTCTCCCCGTGTCTGCGTGGGTTTCCTCCGGGTACTCCGGTTTCCTCCCACAGTCCAAAAACATGCAGTCAGGCCCATTGGACATGCTAAATTGCCCTTAGGTGTGAGTGTGTGTGTGAATGTGTATGTCTGTCTGTCTGCCCTGTGATGGACTGGCGACCTGTCCAGGGTGTATCCTGCCTTCCGCCCAATGACAGCTGGGATAGGCTCCAGCACCCCACCGCGACCCAGAAGGATAAGCGGTTTAGATGATGGATGGATGATGGATGGAGTTTTCATCAAACATTAGCACCCAAAAGTAATAAGAGAAGGCGGTGGAGATCGAGTCTGCAGCGTCTGGGCTTTTAAAACACTGTTAGAAAAGAATCTCACAGCACAGTTTTTAATGTAGATAAATGTAACATCATTGTGCTAGTAATAGTGAACTACGCTGCCGGTCACTGCACAAAACAATAGAAACAGACGGTTAAAACAGAAGTTAAGACACCTCTGTTTATCTTAAAGTTAGGACAGAATTTAGGAGATGTAGTCTAGTTAGGATGCTTCTGTAAATCTGTTTTCTTATCTGGATTTAGGATAAGATAATGAATTTAAGAACTGTTATTTTGTAATAGCTTCTGTCCTAAATTCAGTCACATCAAAGTTGTCATGGTGACTAAGAAGATAAGATTTCAGACTTAAGACGTTTCTCTAATATAGCCCTAGATCTATCTGTCTATCTATCTATCTATCTATCTATCTTGCTGCTGTCATAAGAAAACCTTGTATCTCACTTTTTGTCATTTTTCTGTTTTTGACATAATTTCAAAATACCTGTTGTCCTTTATATGTAGTGTCAACTTCATAAAGAATGGACCAATAGAAACGGCCCAAAATGACTTGGAAGTCTGGTTCCATTGACTTACATTAGAAGTAAACTAGGTTTTTTCCTTCTCCTGTAAAGTTACCATTTTGGAGATACGAGGTTTTCTTCCGACAACAGCGATATATATATATATATATATATATATATATATATATATATATATATATATATATATATATAGTCTGTAATGAGGAAAATGAGTATAGAAACACGGAAGTGTTCCTAATAAAGCGCTTAGTGAGTTATATATTTAGATAGCTGCCCTTTACACTGTGCAAACATTTGAACAAAGGTCAGTAGAAAGGCTACTGTTTCGGCGATGATGTTCGTGTGTGTGTGTGTGTGTGTGTGTGTGTGTGTGTGGATTTATATGTGTAATGGGAAATTCATTTTGCCCTCATGAACCCCTGACATGTTACAATAACATCCTATCTGCCGGATCAGAGATCGTTCAGAAGCCTGATAAGCAGAAAGGATTATGAAAGTCCACCATGGGAATGTTATCTCTGTTGCAGTGGCCCATATAGTTGATTTCCTTTTGTTCCCCAAAAGTGTATGTGTATTAAAAACTTGATAGAGGTTACTTCTCTGTGCGTGTGTGTGTGTGTGTGTGAGAGAGAGAGAGAGAGAGAGAGAGGTGGAGAGAGAGAGTAAGAGACAGCTGGACTGGCTGAACAGGTTCCCCTGACAGCACAGTCATGGGTATAGAATCCTTTCATCAGATAAGTCAGCAATGAGAAATTAAATTACGTGTGTGTGCACGTGTGCGTTTCTAGAATGGAGCAGGCGTGTAGCGGTAATTGTGTTGCATTGCAGGAAAAGGCTGATCTGGGCTCAGATTGCGGCTCAGGCCTCAGACAGACACCCCGTCCCAGGACCATCTTCCAGGCAGGACTAACAGCTCGCGCTAAACCGCGTAACAGAGAGAGGGGCCGCGGCAAGCAGGAGCCCACCAGCTTGGTAATCCACACACTCACACAGACCTGTACACACTCGCCCCAACTCAGACACAGGGACGTTTCCCGACGCATCAAATTTCACTTCAGTGCACTCAGCTGGTGTGGAGCCATGTCTGTGAATAAGAGAGAAATCAAGGATGACGTGCAGAAGGTATACACACTCCGAAATGAAAACAAAATCAAACGAGACTAAACTCATCACAGCTCACCACAAGCCATCTATCTAAACACTGCAAAGCGCTCGTGTCAGCTGTGTGTGTGTCAGCTCCGACACAGTGTGTTTGCTTTCACACATTTCACACAAAAATGTCCCGCCTTTGCAGGAAAAGCAGAGAAAAACAGGGAGAACCTGCGATAAGTCAAAGTCAAGGTCAAGTCAGTGTCAGCTTCATTGTCACTCCTTCACACCACAGATGTGTTGAGTGAGGACCGATATATTTCCATGACACGCTGCTACAGTTTACGCAGAAGAGCAGCAGATTGAATGATTGAATTACTTTGATGAGCCACAGCAGCCATCGCACACACTTTACACCATCGAGGATTAAAGCACAATGATGCCCTAAAGCTCATTTCCATTGTGGTGCACTTCACATGTAACATACAAATAAGTTGAGCATCACAAAAACGATAGCAGATAACAGTGCAAATACAATAGACACAGTAAAGACAGATAACATACTATACAGACACTATACGATATAAAAAGGACATACAAAGGAAAGCAGAGAATAGACAGTGTACAGTAGGGTTGGGGAAAGAAATAGAGCAGCTGTCCATCCACAGCAGTAGCCCACTGATAGTTAGTAATAGTCAGAATGGAAGCTCAAAGCTCTTTGTGGCTATGTGCACATTCTTACTTGCGTGTTGTTTCCTACAATCTTCAATAATATCACAGTACACTACAGTAAGTAATGACTACTACTACACAGGATTAAACATAAGACAGGACAGAATTACATACCAGCACACATAGCACCCACAATAAACATATACGGCATACAACATAGTCAATAAATACTTTGCTTATTTAGATGAAATGCAGTCATATGCAAAATTTTGAACACCACTGGTGAAATTACACGTTTTTTGATGCAACATTTTTGTTTATATTTTTCCCAGTTATGTTAGATTACAGCAAGTAAATAGGTATTGTGCATTATAATATGCAGAAATGTGTTCTCTGTAGAGAGGATAGTAACTTACTTTCACTTAGACAATCAACAATACATGATATTTGGCCAAGGGCACCCAAACTTTTGCATACCACTGTATATAAGTTTAAGTGTGTGATAGAACACTCCTTAGCAGGATGACCATGAGCATTGTCAAAATTGCAGACAGAAGTGCAGATAAAAGTGTATGTGCATATTAAGTGAGTGAAGTATAATGTTTCACATGTAAAGTGGGTGCAGTAGGTATAGTGCAGCAGATAAAAGAAGTAGATTGTGACTTGGTTTGATTATTTGAAGGGTAATTCCATCAAAATCTGCATAATTAAATTGTTAAGATGTAAACAAAGTGATTCAGAGTGGTTTCATAAGGCATGCGCCATTCTAGAGAAACTTAGCGAGTCAGAATTGTTCACAGTGGTGGTGATAGGAACCAGACGTCTTAAGTGTTCAATGTCTTTAGCTACCTCACAGAATGTTATTACATGAAAAAGACATTGGCTGGTGTTGGGAGACATTGTTTTATGACAGTTTTATGAAGATATAGCCAAAAACATATTTAAACATATTTAGGATGGAGAGATATGTGTAGGATGTTGTAATGCAAAGTAATACCCAAAGAAAAATGCATTCAGATTTACCACTATTTCACCATCAGTAACATTAGTAAACAAAATGGTTGATTTATTTCTAGATTCTTACAGTTATGCTTTGAGAATTCTTCAAAAATTCATTAAAGCAGTGAAAGCTGGAGTCAGAATCATCACCAGCCACACTCAGTGGAGCATTACCTACTCAAAATCGGACTCCTTTGTCTTCTTCCTCTGATTCATCAGCTTCTAGTGTCATTAAGGCATGTCTGAAGGTCACCACTGGCAGTGTGCAGCCTACGTGCACATCAGTCTTGAGAACTTGACTCGGATGTTTACAGAAGCATCCTCAGTATAAGACTAGACTACTGCAGTTGTTTAACTACTGCTAGCAAATAGAGCAGTTTTTTTTTTTTCACTTTTTCCTTTGCAACATGAGTTATGTTTATTATTATTATATACAGCAATCCGCACATCTGCACAATGTTCGCCGCACATGCAACAAACATCTAGGAGTTTTTTTACAGTACACCAATGGGTTAGCAATAGGCTTGTTGTCTGTTGGAAAATGCGCCAACATTGGTCCTGTTCACATTTGGCATTAACATCCATCTCGAGTGATCTGGTCCTAAGTGGACCGCGAGATGTGAAACCATTTACACCTGTCATTTCTCTGTGTCTCCTGTGACCACATGTGGCTGGAGAAAGGGGACCACCCACATTTAAGACGCATGTCTCTCACTTTGTTGTGAGACAGAAGTTCCCAAGTCCTTGTTCATAGACATGTCAGGGCTGTTGCTACAGTTTAGATTGCATGGATTGCTAACGCAACTTATAAACAAACCAGAGAGGAGACGAAAAATAAACTACGCTGCTGTTTTCCTCTCTGCTGTGATGCTGATTAACATTTACATTTACATTTACAGCATGTAGCAGACGCTCTTATCCAGAGCGACTTACAAAAAGTGCTTTGTCTATCTAGAGAAAGTATCTTTGCTAGTTACCAACAGGTCAGAGAGAAAGCTGGTCCTGAGCTCAGAGACTGATGGAAACAAAAGCCCATGTTGATACCCAGAGAAAAGAAACAAAACACAGCGCAGTGCAATACATTACAATAAATACTTAACTTAAGGCTGTCAAACATGCCCTGGGACAGTTTAGAATTATGTTATGGTGTTATGGTACAAAGGTTATGTGGTCATATGCGTCCCTGACCAACTCCAAATGTGGTTTGAGTGATCGGATCACAACATGTTGCGGCTGAGAGGAGAGCCAGTTTGTATGCTAGTACGTGTTGGGTGCACCGGCATCATATAGTCTGGCTCTCTACCTGGTGTGAGGGAGAGGAAAGGACAATGGTCTCCCGGCCACACGCAGCGCACTAGAGAGCACGAAAGACTTTAAAAAGGACTGGAATAGGTAAGATCAGTGATAGGTATTGGATTAAACTGGTTTATTTCACTTTTAATGTGTACATAATGCACATTGGTTAACTCGCGCAGGGGTTTGTGTGTTTCTGAGGCCTCCTTAGTCAGGATTCCCACTCAGTGTGCATTGGCCCTGTCCCAAGCTGCCGTGGAGAATGCACGTAACGCCCCTTTACTGGTGGGTTCTCTAACTGGGAGCAGAGCAAGGTTCTGAATCACACTGCAGTTCTGGCACTAGCAGACTTAAAATTAAGTGCAGTTTTTGCTTTAAGTCTGATGAAGTTAAACTAAGACAATGCCAATAAAAAGAATGACAAAGAGGCAGAGTGACCTGCAGCAGCCACTGTGCTGGTTCCCTGCCCTGGACCTACTGAACCCGCATTGGGCTGTGCATGCCGCTAGTGCCCAGCGGAGCCAAGCACCTGTAGGAGTGCCTCGACAGGCCAATCAATCCAGCCTGGGAGGAGAGGTCATAGCTGCCAGTTCTAGAACTGAGTTGGTGAGTGGTGCCTAAATGTGAGGCACTACAGCAAGGGCCCAGACTTTTGCTGCCCCTGTGACTCACAATACGAAAAACGTGCACGCTCCTCTAGCTAGGGATGCCCGCCCACGCATAGCGACAACTAAAATCCAAGAGTCCAGCTTCCCAGAGCCCCAGTCCACCCGTTTGCTCCAGAGCCCTGGCTGCCGCATCACTCTCAGTGGTGGAACAGGACTCTAATATGGCAGGGTTCCCCTCCCCGGCCACATGGACTCAGTATTTTTCCTCTCCCACCAGACATGAGGTCTCTCTCTCCCTCTCTTTGCGCTCTGTCGGATGAGCTCCAGCCAAAGGAACCCCACCCCCTCGTGCCTTATCCGTTGCCCGCACTTGTCCCTGGAGCTGGTCTTTGCTCTCCTGGCTATGGGCCAGGATTGCAGGGTTGGGGAGGTGGGCCAGGTTTGCAGGGTTGGTAAGGTTCTGTGGTCCTCTTGGCTGAAACAGCTGATGCCTGGGCGCTGCCTGGTGCTCCGGAGAGCATCCCAGAGCTGCCCATGTCAACTGTGCTGTCTGGTGCTCTGGAGGATGCCAGTGAACTGCAAACTGGGCCCTATGCTGCCACCTGGGGCTTTGTAGAAATGAATGATGCCAGCCCAGGGCCTTAAAGCGCTATTGGTAACAGTCCCACCTCTCTTACCTTCCTTGGTGTCAGCCCAGTCATTGGATCACGCCTCATGCCTACGGGGTGGAGGGGGCTGTGGAGGAGGAGAGTACCTGCCAGTACGTGGTGGGTGCTCTTCCAGCAGCATATAGACAGCACCAGTAGCATGTTGACTGGCTCTCTCCCTGGCGTGAGGGAGAAAGAAGGATGCTGGCCTCCCAGCCACTTGCAGGGAACTAGACAGCATGAAAGACTTTAAAAAAGACTGAAATAAGGTGTCAGATTGTGCTGGTATTTCACCTTTTAATGTGAGGTAAAGCATGTTGGTTAACTCACGCTGGTGTTTGTGTGTGTCTCTGAGCCCTCAGCTCAAGGTTTCCCAGTCAGTGTGTGCCACAGCATTGACGCATTGTGCTCCATTCATACTTGTACTTTGTGTTGTCCGCTTATGATCAGGTCACCCAGGATGCTTGTTAATGCCAGTTGGCATGGGGCCTTTAAGCTCCACCTTGATAAGCTGTTGAATTGGTTTAAAAATTTCAAACTCAATTAATTCCCAACGTAATAAGTCTGCCTACATTTAGCCCAAAAATATCTCACGGTTGTCCCCAGACACTGTCTTTACATGATCACATCTGGCCCCAGGAGATGACATAACAATGAAAGGCATCTAATACTTTGCTGCAAAAACTAAAAAAATAGTATTTCCCCTCTTTTTGCATTAAGGATTTCTGATTTATTTGATCAAATTCAGGTTTGGGAAATCATGTTATTAAGGGAAAATAGTTTATCAGAAGAAGCCACATTTTTGTACAGACATTGGAAGGTTGAGCTAGGCAGTGGTTACTGCATGCTGAGATACTGCAGAGAAAATGCTGGTTCTTTATTCCAGAACCTACAGCTCTACAGAAATTCTCCTTTCAGGGTCGCTGCTCTGTTATTCTATAGATCACAAAGCTGCTTCTGAAACACTTCTATGTGGAAAGGAAGTGTTATTGCAGGCTGCTGAGCTTTCTGTCTGCTGTCACCTGAAGCTGTCTGTGTGTCTTGTGGTCAAAACGGCTGAATAATTCACTCACTCACTCTCGGTTTTGTCCTGATTGTGTCCGAACACGATTATGAGAAAAGGTGTTGCCTCGCAGCAAAACTGGTTTCCTCCAACATGACTCTCACGTTTCTTAGAATGCGCGTATTACTTTCTCACCCACGCAGCCTCCCTTCACTTTCCCACTTGTTGATTCTCATATGTGGTCTGTGCATTTTTGTGTTTATTTTTTGTGTATGGCTCCCTGCAGTTATATTGGATTCCTCTTCTCAGTTTGCATAGGGGCTCTCAGGGCTCTTTTGTCTCCGGAGCAGATATGTCAGTATTGGCCCCTATGCTCGAGGAGGATGACGGATACCTTTAGCCAAGAGTTAGAGTGACTGACTAAATCTGGATTTACTGGAAAATTGTGTCATTCTCTGCATATTCCACTTTAACTGTTAGTTGGTAGAGTTCATTTAGTCTCTGTCAGAACAAAACTCTCTCCAAAAAGTAACTTTACAGGAGAAGGAAGAAACTTTCTTAATCCTAGGATGCATTAAGGGGCTCAAATCGACCCAAATATGGTGTGATTTTTGGAATATTTTATCACAAAAGCATATAATTCCCTGACATTCAATGTATCCCTCAAAAATCTGAATGCATTTTCTATATTTATTGGTCACAGGGTCAGAAAAAAATGTTTTTGTGTCACTACCCAAAGTCTTCATAAAGGGGGTCAAAATAAATTATGCATTTTGTCAATAAGAATATTTAATTCCTTGGCAGTCCTTGGATTAAATGGATTCAAAAGTGACCGTGACTGTGTCAACTTCATGTTTCTTGTGTTGAAAAAAAAAGACATTTTAAATATGACTGTATTGTCTTTCTGAAAGTGTCAGTTCACTGACTATAGGATTTTGTCCTGAACTGATGTTTTTTAATAATTATAGCATTTTGTTTCGTCAAGTTTTTAAATCATTTTCTATGATTATTAAGTATTTCATTTCTAAGAACATGTCCTCTTTCATACATATCTCACTGGCTGTGTTTACATGCAAAGATTTTTGCCAATCCGACTGAATATATTCCGATTATAGATTAAGACTGAGGTGTTTATGTTCACTCTACTCAACAATCTGATGGAAATCTCCGTTTACATGCTCTCTACAAGTAACCTGATCCAAAATGACATGCATGCGCAGAGAACCATTTAGTGTAGACGTTACCCTGACAACCAGCATCACCTGAGTCCAGTCAGAGTGAGATGAGCAGCAGTGAGCAGTGCTTGTGTTTTTAATTCCTTTAAAATGATGTCAGACTCAGGAAAACGTCCTCCACATGTCCTTATTAAAGAAGGGAGAGAGGAAGACGTCGTGTTCTGAGACACATAAGCTGGACGTCCGTCCCACCGCCGTCTTTTAAAGATCAGAGCATAAACTTCGTCTCCTCTGCAGACCAGTTTCTGCTCCGCCATGTTGAACGTTATAAACTTTCACTATGACGTGACACACATGATCAGAACGGACTTAAACTTTCCGATAGGGAATGTAATCAGATACAGGCATTTACACGGATATTATTCTTCTATTTAATGGATTATTTACAGGATTACCCACCTCGTTCAACTGGATATAAACTGTATTCCGATTGGCCTCTATCGGACTAGTCTACTCCGACTGAGGTGTATACATGGACGTATTCTATTCCGATTGAACTATTAGTCGGATTATTAATGGGTTATCAGGCTGCATGTAAACGTGGCTATTTTGTTCTGTATCAATTGCTGTTCAGAATTTGCTTCAGGCATCAACTGTCATAGCAATGTGGTCCATGTGATAGTGCAAGTTTTGTCCACCAATAATATATGAAAATATATGAGATTTTGAAACAGAGACATTCAGAAATTCTAAATCAGCAAGCAAGCAAACTAGCAAATTTTAGACATGTTACTGAGTGGCTAGTAGTAGATTGAGACACTAAATAAATAAATCGATCAATATTGATTATTTATCAGTCATTCATTCTGGTGCCTCTATGCCAAGTCAATTAAGAAATAGTTCTAATGCATTTAAATAGTCTCCAAAACCTTAACAGTAACTTTACAGGAGAAGGCAAAAACGTTCTTAAGTTTTAATGCAAGTTAATGAAAAGAGGTTTTATTCCAAGTCATCTTGGGGCATTTCTGTTGGTCCATTCATCATGAAATTTTTACACAATTTGAAAGACAGCCGTCCTTTTTGAATGATGTAATGATTAAAAAATGTAGATACCTTTTTTTTTGGACAGCAACGATTTGTGTTTCATCAAACTCTTAAATCGTTGAATAAAGTTGAAGATAAAGATAAAAACAGGAAGAAAAGTACTGATTCTAACGTGAGTCGCTTTCATCTCCATGCATTTGTGCAGGCCTTTTGTATGCATTCAGGCATACATTTCAATTTTAGTTAATGTAAGAAGATTTTGGATCATTTCTGCTGAAATAACAAAACCACAACAACAAAAAAAAGACAAAAATTGAGATACAAGAGCATACAAACCCCTAACCATGCCTCCCTTTGTGTGTGTGTGTGTGTGTGTGTAGGTCTCTTCTCTACCTGAAGGTCCCAGGCTGGAGCTGATGGAGCAGGACTCTAAAGACTCAGCTCAAAGCAGCGCCACATCCACCTCCACTACTGACACGGCCAGCCAGCCTGAGTACAATGTACACGCTCCCGCACACATTCATGAGCACTGCGTGTCCGTCTGCTTCCCCACTTGTCTTGTCTGATCTTGTCCGTCTTTCTTCTTGTATACAATCAACATAACCCATGTTTGTCCACCTGCCCTTAAAAAGTAACAAGAGACTCTATTCCACTTCAGCTCTCTTTTTAATGTGCAGACATCCAGCTTTGTGCCCAACGGTCTGTCTTCAGGGCTAAATGTTACAAAGCCTGTCAGCTATATGTTTGCAGAGAGCATTGACGACTTGCACAAAGAGACCGTTAGGTATTGAATGATGCTATTGTGAGCTGGAGTGTTTAACAGAGTCTCTATTGACCGTAGATATGTGTACACACAGGCACAACCACCCGCACGCGAGTGCAGAAACAGGAACGCTGTCGACATAGTAACCAATTGATCATGAAAGTCATGCTCAGACAAGTGCTGTAGAAGATCTTTCATCTCATGATCTCTGCTAACCAGGCTGACCGTTCTTAATGCACATCTTGAAAGAAAAGCTTTTACATTGTAGAGATGCCCTCTCAGGATTAGTGCACTGTATACAGTACTACTAGGTGTAGTGTAGATCTATAGGAGTATGAAATGGCCCTCATCTGGCACACATCTGGCCCATTTTAGGTGAAGCTGAGGTTAAGTTTGTTGCCTATGATTTAGCCCAGACCTGGCCCATGTAAGGTGAGCATATGATACATTTAATTTGGCCCAGATTTCGTACACAACACATGTGACATCTGGCCCATATAAGGTGAAGCTGAGGTTAAATCTTTTGGCCCTGATTTGGCCCATATAAGGTGAGCATATGCTAAATTTATTTGGCCCTGATTTGACCCAGACATGGCCCATGTAAGGTGAGCATATGGTAAATTTATTTGGCCCTGATTTCTGTCTCTTTTGTAGGACAATAAGGGATTTGGAATAGGGGAGCTGGTGTGGGGTAAAATTAAAGGCTTCTCCTGGTGGCCCGGGATGGTGGTGACCTGGAGAGCCACGGGGAAGAGGCAGGCGTCCCACGGCATGCGCTGGCTTCAGTGGTTCGGGGATGGCAAGTTCTCAGAGGTGAGTCGGATTTTGGGATAATATTATGAGGACTTAATATTTAAATTATTGTTGAAGAGCTTTTTTTGTGGTGAATAATCTACGGGATGTGCGTCTCTGGTAGGTTTCTGCGGACAAGCTGGATTCCATCACTGCGTTCTCCAAGTTCTTTAACCAGTCCTCCTACACCAAGCTGGCATCGTACCGAAGAGCCATATTCCAGGCCCTGGAGGTGAGATTGGCTTTATTGTTTGGAGAGAGTGAACAGAGAACTGTTGCACTTGAGATTGACAGCGAATTCAGTGAGTTCAAATGTCTGTAACGTAACCTTAATGGAAGACTCTGATGTGGCAGTGCACCTGCTGTGTTAAACCCAGGGATCATAGCGGGTATTAGGTCGGTTTTATTTCTCCAGCTGTGTGTGCGTGTGCATGTGTATTTTGTAGACGGAAAGATAAGAGCTCAGGTAAACACTTATCTGAAAGCTGTGCGGAATTCCCCGACAGTTCCCCTGATTATCTACCTGTAGAGAATTAGAAATTCTACCAAACAGCACAGAAGTGGCCAAGTCCAGACACGCTCGAGGACCGTGTCTGCTCTGCCTGTTGTTCTTTCGGCGAAACTCGCTGCCTCTTATCTTTCTCTCTCGATCTCCCTTTTCACCGTGATGTACGATGCGCAATTTGTCTACATTTAGTCTTTCATGTATTTGCTCTGATTTTATGTGTAGGAACCCAAGTCTGCCCCTGATGTCAGTTTTGTCATCTTCTTCCCGAAGGATTACTAAGCCCTTTGGTTTTTGGTCTTCCTGGCTGTTGCTTTTGTTATTTTCACTTTGTAAACCGCAGGCTTATTACGCCGTTATTCATCTGAAGATGTATCATCATGTACTGAAAAAATGATGTATACAAATAAATCAGATTACATAAACACAATGTACAGTGTGAAACCAATGTACACAGGTCAGCGCTCAGTAGCCACTCTAAAGTATGGGGTACTGCTAGATCAGTGCAGTCATTCAAACTGTTAATGCTGACTAACTGGAAAAAAATGTATTTCAGGGGCAGCTATGATAATGACCGCTGTGGTCACTCACATTAGTCATATTACTGGCAAGCAAAACAGTAATCACTTACAGGATTCTTCACTAAAAACAATGACAGTGTGTCATTCAGTATCTCAGTCAGTCTCTAAATAGTATAGATCTCTAATATTGTTGAAATCCAACAGTTTCAAAAGACTGTATCAATATTAATTATGTCTTTTGTTTACTGTGGCTGCAAAAGTGGACTCATATTTAGCAATAAATTACTTGCTGCCATATAGAGGGACCTCTATTCTCCCACTAGAAGTGTCTTCTGGAAGCTACATGAAGACAGGGAAAGTTAAGAGTCGCGTCCTGTTCCCAACAGGCTTCATTCACACTCCTGCCAAACTAGAATTGCCTGTGTTAAGTCATCCTCAAGTCACTGCGTTCCTCTCAGTTTGTGACACCAAACACCACAGCATACCGTGATGACAGGTTTATTTCACTGTATTTACCAAGAAGCAAGAATAGTCGGTTGCACTTTATTTGGATGGTCCCCTGTAGATGCTCTACAGATACTTAAATCATTAACAAACTTTCTGGTGATGTTCAGTTGATTATCAATAACATTAGAGTTGGGGTTAGGAGTAGATGTAGGTTTTGCCTTGCGGTTAAGTCTAGGGTTAAGTTTAGGGTTAGGGATAGATTTAATAAACTCTTTCACACCAAACTTGAAGTTCAGTTGCATTTAATGGATATTGGGTTGAATGGCACTTAAAGATATATGAGCATTTACAAAGCATCTACAGTGGACCATCCAAAGTGTTACTGAGTAGTGTATTAGTAAAGAAGTATCTGCTGAAGGGCTCCAAGGGGGGCTTTTTAAAAATGCACAGGTCCCAGGATTAGATATACAGCATTATCTGCTGGACAAAAACTCAGTTGGGTTTCTTTAAAGATTAGAATATTTTAATGGGAGCATGAACAGAAATTCCTTCCCTTTGCTGTACAAAGGAAGTCTGGCGTTTTGGTTAAATGTTAATGTAGTATGGCGCAGCGGCTGTACTGTGAAGTTGTGGAACCACCTTTAAACCTTTATTTTATAACCACCTTTCAACACTTTTGGAGCAAAGACAGCTCCAAATAAAAATCATGCTTCAACAAACAGGTTTATTAGATATAATTACTTTAAGTGGAGCCAAAACATCCTATTTTCAGGCGGTTTGGCACAGAGAGAGCCTTGTTTCTTGACTGAACATATGATGTGCCAGAAATCAGCTTCCTTGTTGTTGATGAATGAAGCTACAGATGGCCTGTTATTACTGATCATCTCCAAATCTCTCTCTCTCTCTCTCTCTCTCTCTCTCTCTCTTTCTCTCTCTCTCTCTCTCTCTCTCTCTCTCTCTCTCTCTCTCCCTCTCCCTGCCACTGGTTGTTTCTGTAGATGGCCAGTATACGTGCAGAGAAGACATTTCCTCCGTGTGAATCTGATAATCCAGAGGACCAGGTGAAGCCCATGCTGGACTGGGCTCACGGTGGCTTCCTGCCCAAGGGCAAGGAGGGCCTGAAACCCAGAGAGAACTCTGGTGAGTATGAGTCACCATGTCATACCACCAGTTACAGTCAAATCCAGCTTCAGTCCTTCTTCTATAACCCTTAGAAGTCAAAAGTTTTTGCTGTCGTTTTGCTGTACATTCCATTTACATTGCATAATTACATAATGTATACATGATTACTAGTGGTGGCAAAGGTAATGCATTAAAAATGTGTTAACGTGAGAATGTATTAAGGCCACTATTTTTGAACTCTGTTAACGCATTTTCCTAGTTTGAACCATCCGTAGTTCCAGCCTAAAGCCCAGCTGCTCACGTGTGTTGCTGTGAACAGCTTTTAAATTGCGAGAAGTTCTAATTATGGCTGTTATGGCTATTTTTCCTTCAATGGCATATATTTTGATGGAACTGTTTATAAACCATTTATAAAAGTGCTTTTATTGTGTTTAAATGTTATTTTTTCATTGTGGCAGTTATATATGATTGTTTGATCTGAAGCAAGCTTCAGTTGGGCTGCTTGTTTTGTCTGGCCATGGTTGTCCTGCATCTCCCTTCACCCCTTATTGCTCACTAGCAGCTCAACACAGAGTAACAACATTTCACACACACAGAGCCAACAGTGTCTTTGTGCATCTGATAACAGAATTATGGGGAGAAATATTATATTTAGATATATTTATTTTATATTTATTTCAGATATAATTCAGATATAAAATATCTGCATCGATTTCTATTTGGCAGAGTGGCTCTTAGGGAGCCTGCAGAAAGAAAAACGCAACTGATGTCGGCAGTAATATCAGTAATAGCTGCAGCTGGCTACGCTGGACAGCGCTTGCAGGAAATCTGTGGATAAACTGACAAGGAGCAAAACAAAAGCAATAGCAAAGTGGAAAACTCCAGTTTTCCCTGAAACAAGATGTAACACAGCAGTATGAGATGAAATATGCAGCCATATTGCTCACATGTTGCTCTCACTGAACGTCAGTGAGGGGAACTGAAAAATGAGCTTACCATATTTTCATGTTTAGGTTTATGTGAACTCGCCATTCACATCCTAAAAGTATTGAATTGTTAACTTACTTAAAGTAATAAATGTATTCTGATTGAGCTTATTGTACAAAATGAAATTGAAATTGGAAAAAAATCTCCCTTTAGGGTCATATTGAGCAAATAAGACAATTCCATCCATCATCTAAACCGCTTATCCTTCTGGGTCGCGGTAGGGTGCTGGAGCCTATCCCAGCTGCCATTGGGCGGAAGGCAGGATTCACCCTGGACAGGTCGCCAGTCCATCACAGAGCAGACAGACATACACATTCACACCTAGGGGCAATTTAGCATGTCCAAATGGCCTGACTGTATGTTTTTGGACTGTGGGAGGAAACCCACGCAGACAACATGCAAACTCCACACAGAAATGACCCTGGTCACCCGGCCGGGAATCGAACCCAGGCCCTTCTTGCTGTGAGGCGACAGCGCTACCCACTGCACCACCGTGCCACCCTAATAAGACAATTCCAATGTATTGAAATTATACAAAATGACACGATTAATCATTAATGATTTAGATCGTTTGACTGCCCTAGTAAGTGCATAATTAAACAGTGAATTACGCAGTTGGTTACATCATAAATTACATTTACATTAATTTCTTTTTTTTGCTGTAAGTAAATGACAAGTGCCAAATCAATGTAAGACACATAACAATGACTTTTCTACTTACAAAATATGGTATAGATTGAATGCTTTACAATCCACACTTTCAGCAGAATGCTCTGGAACTAAGAAACCTGGCCAGGTTGTGTAATCTATCCACTTTTCCTCTAAAACCGCAGAAATTAATCTTCCAGCACACACCATATACATCCCCCCAACACACACACACACAAACACACACAGGAGCCGCTCTTTTGCTCCAACAGCTGCACAAATGACGACTAGTGCAGATGAGGAAACGCAAACAGGAGGAAAAACCCTCTGTTTGTTTAGTGTGCTTACCATACGCATGATTCACTGCTGAAATATGAGATTACGCTCATTCAGCGAGTGCTGGCTTTTCTCTATGGTGGGTCTCATATTCTCTGTTAAGTTCTCGGTAAGTAAAAGATAGCTTGTATTCTGGTTGGGGAGTAATTTGTTCCAATTGTGATTTACTCGCTCGTGTCTCTGTCTGGTTTAAAGCTGTGGTACTTTCATTGTGTGGAAAAGCCGCTCTCACTGTCTGACCTTGAACAGGAAGCTAGATCCGCAAACTAGTGGAGACAAGTATGATGGCTGAGTGTGATGCAACTGTCCGCTGCTTTAAAACATACTTTAATTCATGCTGTTACACTGTTACATAGTTTGATTTTGACAAGATGTGTCCTGACTGAGTGAGATTAAATAGTGATGAGATTGGCTGTAGATGTTTGGACGCCGTCTTCGTGATAAGTGCCTTGGGGAGTGGGGTTGTTGTACTCAAATTGTGTTTGGGTGGGGCTTTTAAAGCTGTCAGGAAAACTAACATGAAGCACTAGGCCTATGTGGTGAACAGGAGTGCTTGTGAGTGACAAGAGGAGTGCTATGCTTATACTTAATACTAATTCCATTAAGAGGTCACTACAGGCCAAAAGTATAGAAGCAAATAGTGATTTTTAAAGTTTAAGGTCAATTAGCTGACAGTACACCTAATGCAACATGTTTATTGGTATCAGTAGCCAAATAAATGGATAGTTCCGGTCCTAAAATCTGATTGGCTGAACTGCGTTCAAAGCTGTTGCAAAATCCGTGATATGCACACTCCTATGACCACCTCACAAGAACTGAACTGTGTATTACTGCGCCACGGCACGAAAAAAATCCTGTGCTGTTAATGGAGTAATCTTTGACTCTCATGCCGCTCACATGGACCACTGAGTATATAGATGAAGTAAGAACCCGTTTTTGTTGAAACTGAGGGGCTGGCGACTTATGTTCTTAACTGGAACTAGGCTGGTCAGCTAACAGGCTAAAAGAGCCAACAGCCTAAACACCTCCATCATTAATGTCACAGGCTTGAATTAAAGTACTTACAGTGTGATTTACTGTAAAACGGCGATATGAAAGTCTAAAAAAAGTGACTTGAATGACTTACATGCTTCAAATGTCCGTGTTTCAGTCAGAAGTCGCGTCAAACCCAGGCTGAATCCCAAACGGCTCCGTACTCCCTAAATAGTGTGCCAACTATGAAAGATCAGAAATTCTAGCCTCTACAGCCAAACAGAGCATCATTTATCGAGTCCCAAATTACTATTTTTTAGCTGTATTTTGCACTGTTGGGGTTCAGGATCTAGTTTTGAAATTCCTACGTAGTGCACTATGTAGGGAGCAGGAAGCCATTTGAGATTCAGCTCCAGCACTGCGGTTTTATCACAGGGAAGGGAGTTTTATGCACTCTGCTTCACGTTGTGCCTAAGAACACTCTTCCAGATAAAATCGCAGTAACACACAACCTCTCGTGGCTTATTGCTTTAATAGATGCCCAATTGGACATACATGATTCAGTTAATAAAGCCTATGGGAGCCTTTGAATATGAGAATCATGTGGATATGATTATAGCTGTAATACAGCTCTGCAGGAAAATGCTATGTTCGACGAAAGCTCATAAGTCAGAATACCCTCATCTGAGTATTCCTACACCGAAAGTCAAGAAGGTGTCCGTAACCCGGTTCAGCATACAGGGTGATTCAAAAAGATTCATCCGCTTTCAAAATGAT